TAAAAAGGAAAGGTGGTACCCATTTTTAATTTCCTATTGTATAGTTTTGAACTCTTCTATCATTTTCATTGTTTGGTTTGGTTTACTTTGGTTTTATTTTGTCTTGTTTTGTTTGATTTTACAATTCCTGATGCTATGGGAAGTTATTTTTTAAATAACAAGGTATATTATGGTAGCCAAGGTATCTTATGGTATATTATGATAGAATTCCTATTATCTTGCTTTGAAGTACTGTATTACTTTCATTATTTTGCTTTGATTGGTTTTATATTGTTCTTCTTTTGTTTCATTTTATTATGTCTGATGGTATGGGAAGCTATAATGAAGGTAACAAGAGGTAACAGGATTGAAGATGTATGTTGATTTCCTATTATCTGGTTTTGAAGTTCTGTATTGCTTTCATTATTTCATGTTTAGATTGATTTTTTCTGTTCATCTTGTTAGGTTTTATTTTCCTTAAAATAAAAAAATAAAAGTGAATGTTGAAGAACAATAATAGTCCAAATACAAACCTAGTACAAGGAGAAAGATCATAAAGTTTATAGGAGAAATTAATGAAATGGAAGTTAAAAAACAGAACACACAAGAACTTAACAGCTGTTTTTTTTTTAAAAGAATATACATAATAGATAAACCTTAAAAAGTCTCCAAAAACAGGAAGGAAGACATCCATGTCAACACAGTTAGAAATGAAAAACTGGGGCTTTGAAATATAGCTCAGTGACATGTTGCCTGCCTGCCTAGCACAACATTCTGAGTTTGATACCAGGTACTCCCCTCCCCAAAAGTGGTTAAATTACAATGAATTATTCTGAAATCTGGAAGACTATTAGTAAATAACATTAAAAACTGTATGAAAAAATTGTAAAATCTTGAAGAAATGAACAAATTCCTAAACACACATAAATGACCAAAACTGAATCAAGAAGATGTAAAAATGCTGAATGATTCAGAAACAGGTAAGAAAATAAAATTGAGGCAGTAATGATAGAAAAAAACCTTTACTTTTAATTGGGTCTTACTTAAAATTAATGCACTGTGTGTTAAGAATTGAATGAGTTTATCACAAATAAGAGACTCCCAACTTCAAACTAATTAGACATTCTAGCACTTGCAAAGGGAGCTCTGTCCCAAGGAACTTCATCTATTAATTCATCTGAGATGATAGTAAACCCATGATTTGTGTAAGCAGCATGCATAAGAGTACTAGGAAAAGCATATAAATAGAACACCAACAGACATTCTGGTTATTTGTTTCCTTTCTACCTTAGATTTTTTTAAGCTTTCACAACCTGTATCAATTAAATACCTAACAGTTCTGAGGCTATTTCTAAAGTATGCATCTATGAACTGTAGTTTCTTAGTACCTCTTAACATTTGAAAAATCCAAGTGTTTTTCTCCACATATTGAAAGATTTTTATCAAAATAAGGCAAGTATAACATTTGTTTATATGGGATATTCTTTCAAAGATAGTTGAATATGCAGTATGTGGGTCACAGAGCAGAGAGGATTTCATTTAAAGGTGGCATTTTTTTGGTTGGAGTAGTGATAGAGATTGAAATCAAGATTATAAGCATGCTAAGTAAGAGCCCTTCCACTAAATTATTCCCACAATCTAGGAACTACTTTTCAAACTTTTAAAATCCCCAGTTCAAAGGCTGTAGGAGCAATTAGATAAGTCTTAATGTGCTACTTAATATGCTACTTAATACTGAAAGCACTCAATAAGTAGTATCTCTGAATGATACTAAATACTAAAATTAAAAAACAAAGACTATTTTTTTAATGTGTGACTATAAATCAACATCATTTTAAAGTGTGGTCAAATTATCATGGATTGCCAATTCCACATGTTTCAACTAAGGGTTTAATGGCATGGCATAAAAATACTACCAGCTAAGGGTTTGGTGACTTTTTTGTGGTGTTTTAGTATTTAAATTTAAAACATACTATAATTTAAATAATATATATTGTTAAAATGAAGTACAAGTAAGATACACTAGAATGATAATGTGAGTGGAGACACAAAGAAATGTCACCAAGAATACAGTCTGGAAATTTATTAAAATAAACTTACAACTAATAGATATATAAACATTATTCTAGTGAAATACAGGAAGGAATCACTTGAAATGAAAGATCCAAAACTGTTATTTCACTATTTTTAGTTCTTGATTCTAGAGCTAAAGAAAAGTAGAAAAATCTAAATATACAATTAAGAGCTTAAATGTAAATCAAATTGAGGAGACACAAGTGGTGTTGAATCATTAGGGAAATGGAAGGACAAGGAGTGAGCACCATTCACAGTAAAATATACTTAGCAATGCAAGAGCATGAATAAAATCCAAAATAAAGAAAAATTAAATAAATTTTTGTAAATATACTATATCACTGATATTATAGTTAAATGTCATAGATTTAGTCTTTAAAAATTTGAAAACTAAACCATGAAAGAAAAAACATGGTAATGAAAATATTAACTGAATAGACAGCAGATATTATATTCACTAATGTGGGAGCTTACTTACAATTTTAGAATTGTTTAAAGATTTTTAAATTAATTTTCAGCATACTTATATTATTCACCACAAAGGTAATTTTGGTAAAGGTAATGTTCCTAGGGCCATCTAAGTAGCTCTGTGGCACAAACGCCTACCAGGCATTTGCAAGCCCTGAGTTCTATTCCCAGTACAAAAACAGAATGTTCCTAAACTGGGATGACACTAAAAATAATACTTCAATTTATATAGTGTTTATAAGCATAGGGGCCATGTTCAGTCAGGAAAGATCTGTAAAATAGAGATTATTTTTTTAAATCCTGAAAACTCAATTTATAATCACAGTATCTCACGACCTCATTTAAAACACTGGCTGCTTTCTCATTTCAAACCTATTTATTAGCAGTCTATAGGATTGAATAGATATCAATAACCTAGAGTGCAAGTACTAACATGTCCTTTGTCATAATGCTATACACAGGTGCTATCTCATCCATAGCCAATGTGTGCTGAGGAACTGGAGTAGGTTGTTGAGAGACTGAAGAAAGAACCTAAGCATGGCTTGTGAGATAGAAGGTTTAAGGCATTAACAGGAAAAGGAAAGATTCAGTCTTACTAGCAGAAAAGGATGAAATGCAATGGTTGTGTGCTGAATAGCAAGTCATCAAAAGTTACAATGCCTGGTGATAGCAGGCTGAACTAGTTAATCACCAGGCAGCCTGGGGGTGTCAGATTGGACAGGAATATCACCAGAGAGAATGTGCAGCATCAGTGGTGGCCAGCTGGATAACCACCTTCCACAGTGCTCTCACCTGTTCTGTTTTTGCAGGCAGAGGGTTTATGATTATGTGACATAACACTGTTGTCATGGACTTCCTATGTTCTTATGTATGGTAAGCAACTTAATTGACTTAGCTTTTGGGTGAAAAAGCAGTTTCCAAGGATGATACCAGGTATCTCAGTCCCAGGCTCTGTTAGATATTTAAATATTTTCTTAGGAACAACACATGTATTAAAGCTTTGGTGTAAAAAGCTTATTAGGATATTTCCCATCCTAAAAATAAAGTAATTGTTAAAAATGATTGAAGTTATTATTGCTTCTTTACTGTGATTTTACACCCCAAGATTAGAATGTCATGATGGCAAAGGGGAATATTTACATCTTAACTCTGAGTAGAATTTGGTGAAGCCCTACAGGAAGAACTTACAGAATTTAACAAAATAAACTGTACTTTATTACCCTTAGCATATAGTCTGATCATTTTAACCAATAGGTGATTAAAAAATGTATAGTATTTTGGATACTATCCAGTTGGATAGTATCTTAACTTTCCATCTGAATACTGATCAAACAGAATGGTATGGATTTCATGAAATATACTTTGTCTTGAAATAAAGATAACAATATAAATTTATAAACTTCCTTAATTAAAGCATTTACTACAAAAAGCTATTGTAATCAACTAGCAGAATTTGTTTCAGTGTATTGTTTAACTGAAAAAGAAGGAAATATATCTTGGAAATGTAAAGTGTATTATACATCAGAAGGCTTTTATTTAAATTAGAAAAATGATTATCATAAAACCAAGTACATGGTGTTAAAAGTGTAATTTTATTATATATAGTCAGACTGTCTTTGATAATCATCAAAGGTATTTTATTAAAATGGGATGACAATGGAAAATTCCTACAAAAAGAATAAGTAATTTAATACGAATCATTTAATACAAAAACTAAATTACCAACTTCTAAACTGAACTATTTTGTATGAATAAATTTTCACACAAAAAGCAGTCTTAATAGAAATCCTGTGGTACAATCTAAAGAAAATGCAGGTGCATTAATTCCTAGTCAAATATAAAGAGATGAAAAACAATACTTTAAATGTAAAGTCTTTGAGTTAACAATGAGTTTGACAATTCACTGACTGCTGGATTCGGAAGCATCTATCTGAGATCATCTCATATTTCAAGCTTTCCTCTCATTATTTTCAACTATTGCTGCCTCTGTATTTTGACTCCCCATGTTTCTGTGATCCTTTCAGCAGTGCATCTAAAAGTGAATCACATGATTCCAGTTCCCAGTGTCTCATGTTTTCTTACAGAAACCTGAAGTTAGGGATCAAAAAACATTTTAACTGCCTCATTGGCTGATTTTCTTCCAAAAAAATTTGAAAATCATTATTTTTGAAGTTCCAAAAATGATCACTACAACTTGTCACTGAACCCTCAACAAAAATCAAGAAAAATATAGCCAGCTTAGTTGTGTGTAAGAAATTCAGAATCAAAGCATTATGAGAAAGACTGAGGCCATTTGTATTCATCTGTAGTGTTCTTAAAAGGTTAGTCTTTTGGTGGAAATGACTTTCATTATTTTCCCCCCATGTTTTCACATCCTACACTTCCTGAATAGTCAGACAATGAATAATACTGTGTATCTCCTCTTTATCAATCTACTTTTAATTTTTATTCCTTACTATAAGTGAGACGAGTGGGAGACAATGGCAGTAAGTAATGAAAGCCACCCGGAGGAATTCATTCTACTGGGCTTTGCTGACCGACCTTGGCTGGAGCTCCTTCTCTTCATCATTCTTCTGATAACATACCCGATGGCCATGATGGGAAACATCGCCATAATCCTGGTGTCCAAGGTAGACATTCATCTCCACAGCCCCATGTACTTCTTCCTCACCAACCTCTCCTTTCTGGACATGTGTTACACCACAAGCATTGTCCCTCAGATGCTTTTCAACCTGGGAAGCTCTAAAAAGACCATCAGCTATCTGGGGTGTATACTTCAGCTATACGTTTTTCATATAATGGGGGGTACTGAGTGTCTACTTTTGGCTATTATGTCCTTTGACCGCTATGTGGCCATCTGCAGGCCTCTGCATTACACACTTATAATGAATCAGTGCACCTGCCTCTTACTAGCAACCATAGTATGGCTGATCGGGGCTACCTATGCTGTCTCAGAGGCCACTGTTACACTACTGCTGCCACTGTGTGGTTTGAATGAACTGGATCACTTGCTGTGTGAGATTCCAATTCTGATCAAGACTTCCTGTGGTGAAAAGGAGGCTAATGAGCTTGCACTGTCTGTTGTATGCATCTTTATGTTAGCTGTTCCTCTGTGTTTAACTCTTGCTTCCTATGCTAATATTGGACATACTATACTTAACATTAAGACTTCTGAAGGAAGGAGGAAGGCCTTAGGGACATGTTCTTCTCACCTCCTTGTTGTTTTCCTATTTTACGGTCCAGCTATCAGCATGTATCTTCAACCTCCCTCCTCTATCTTCAGGGACCAGCCCAAGTTCATGGCTCTCTTCTATGGTGTGGTGACTCCTACCCTCAACCCCTTCATCTACACTCTGAGGAATAAGAATGTGAAGGGGGCATTAGGCAGGCTGGTGAGTGGTACTTTCAGATCAATTTACAGTTGCTAGCAATTCAATGAAATTATTTTATATACAGTGAATTTCTATGCTCTAAAGTCTTAAAATAAAAATTTTATTGCATGTTTTCTTAAATTGTATTCATTTTTCTTATGTCTCATATTCCTTCCTATCATGCATACTCAGTAAAGATGCACCTATACAGACACTGCTTTTACCAAATTCTAAAAGCATTCTAGCTCCTTAAACGATTTAGTTCTTACATGACATTAAACGTTCTGTGGAGTTACTGTTTTACTGAGTTTAGGGCACATATTCAAATGAGTAGTATACAGTGTTAAAATGGATATATTTTAGTGATCCTTTGCATATAATATGCATGAGAAATTTTAAGTAATTAGAAAAATAATGTTAATATTGACCCCCAACCTGTAAATTTTTATATTGTTTGAATACTTGAATGTATGAGTTAAAAATGCTTTTTCAAATTATATAATAATCAGTAAAGAAATCATAAAATAAAAAGCAACTTTTTATATAAAGAAGTAACATAACTAGTATTCAAATAGTGCAATTTAAATGTCAATTATATATGTGTGTGTGTGTGTGTGTGTGAATGATTTTCCAAACTGAATGTAAACAAATTCAGTCATTTTAGAATGAACCAGCAAAAGATGGCTACAGTGGGTTAATAAAGCTGTAGCTCATTAATAGTAAAAATAACATATGAGTTACCTTCATTTATTTCATTATCTCTTTGTGATACCAGAAATTGCACCAAAAATAAAGCATACTGAAAGTGTAAACTGATCTTATTCTTTTGTTGTTAAGGGTTTATTTACTATGAAATATCACTGAATTCAATCCATATGAATTCAAAATGAAACAACAAATAAATCAATTTGCCATCATAATTTGTACCTAATTTATGATACAGTTTTTAGTGTGAGCTTTAAAACTAAATTTTTAACTTATACATATCATCAAAATGTGAAGTTAAAAAAATATATATCTGTATCATATATATATGACATATATATATCTGTATCATTCTAAATCTAAATCATTCTAAATAACAACCAGCTGACTTTTGGTTTAGTACTGATTGCTTATCCTAAAACTCTTATAGGCACACACGTAAGTAAAATAAAATGCTGTGATACCATATAATATTTTTATCATTTTGCCTACCTATTGTCTTAGCCTTTCATATACAGCAACCTAATAATTTTTAGCCTTAGACATGAAATTCAACAATATTTCATAAAAGTTATAGTAATACAGACTGATAGTAGCTTTTGTAACTACTGATTGAGATTATCCTTTGTCTGGGGCTACTTGTGGACTACATAACAGACCCAATATATCATTTATTTCAGAAGCATAAACATGATCGAGACTCTGAAATATGATAAATTCCTAAAAAGTGCTTGCAAAGCCTAGTATAAAGAATAATATAATTATTATTGAGAAAACGCCCATAGAAATGACATATTTATACTAAACCATTTACTACAAACTTCTAGTTTATACACGTTCAGTTTATTTCAGGATGAAGGACTCCTTAGATAACTTTGAAAAGCCCTTTGGAGGAAATAAACAAATATATTAAATTTCAGTGTGAAAGAGTTCTCTACCTTTTATTTACACCATGAGCAATCTTGGGATTGATTTTTCTACAAAGGTAGTGAAGCATATTTTCTTCTTTTCCCAAGTACGCCAAACTTTACTAATGAACAAAGAATGATAACAAAGCATTTTAACCCTAATGGTAAAAACAGTAAAAATTCAGATATGCATGTGGAGACATCTTCCAGGTCGAAATCAAGATGGATTGACAGTGACTTTCATCATTCTGGAAATACCATTACATCAATAAACAAGAAGTTCTTCTTGCCCTGAGGTACATAATTAAAACATACGTAAGTTGTAATAAAGTTAATAGAGCTTTCACTAGACTAAAAAGTAAAGAAAGAGACATTGTTCATCAATAACGTAGAAGTGCAGACAATATGTTTCAACTGATACAACAGAAACACAAAGGACTAAAATTAATGCAAACAGCCCAATACCAATAATTAGAAAACACAGGAGCCAACTCTTGCCAGTTCTGTTCATCGTAGTATTGTACAATCACTTGGAAATGGCTTGAATTGCCCTTTGGTATTTTGATAGGGAAAACTTGGTCACCCATGTGACAGCACAGCAATGTTGGGCTCTTGCAGAGATGGGGCATGGGGAATTAACTATACCTTTAGGATACTGTCCTTGGAAGGGGTTAATGACACTACATGGTACTCATTAATTCTTTCAAGAAAGTGTTATTATAGAAAGTATAAACTAGACACCCCTGGTCTCTGCTTTCCTCTGGTATCTGGTTTTGGGTCTTTACATGTGGTTTCTCCATCTGAGCAAAAGTCAGTGGGCTATCTACCATAGTGTGATGTTGGAAGATGGTGCTTACTATGGTTTGGTGTCATATTGGTTCGACACTACTGTCAAGAGACTAGTGGAAAAAACCTTCACCTCATAAAGTAATAGACTCAGATATTTTTTTATAACATTGGATAGTCCTTCTGGATGGCCTAGAAACAGAGATTAAGCTGGATAAAGAAATAATGAGCTTATAAATTGGAAAGACAAAAGTCAAATGACCTGATTACAGTAGAAAAACTTACAGGTCCTGCCACAAAGTATGGAACTGACAAACAATTTCAAGAAGTTGCAGGATAAAAAAATCAATACACCAAAATCATTGACATTTTAAATATTAGTAAAGCACTGTTTTTACAGAGAAAAAAAACAAAAATAAAAAAATGAAAAACAATGAGAACAACAGAAAAAGAAAAGTAAAACAGAATATCAATAGTGATATAAGATTTAAATCAAGGTGACAGGCATTTAACAATGGTTATTATTTGCATTCTGCTATCTTCAAAATAGTTGCTCAGATTACCAGATACAGGCATGCAAAACTGATGAAACTATGAGAGCTAACTGCTTGTTTCATGAACTAAGATTTAGTGGTACGATTATATTTGTTATCGTGTGCATGTGTGTGTGTGTGTGTGTATGCACGCGCTTCTAATCTTTGATTAGAAGAAAAAATAGTTCTCAGTTATCCATAAGTTTGTATCCTTTTCCTTTCCTTCTTTTCTTTTCCTCCATCCCAGTTGTTCTTTCCCTTTGAGAAGTCTATCCATTTCATATATCTATAGTAACTTTTTAATGTTTTTTTTTAATTTTAAAAAGGAAAGTAGAAAAACAGGATAGAATTGCTACAGAATTTCAAACAGTAGAAAATTAACACTAGTTAATATATTTCATATTGTTATATTAGAAGTATTTGCTCAAATTATAAGGTTTAGGCATGAAAAAATCACTAAAACATCAAACAATGAAAGCACAAAATGTTCCCTTTGATGAACTAACAGAGATTAGTAATATAATTATCTACCTTGTATATATATGTATGGTAACATTTGGATCTTATTTACTTTTTCATTTTCTTACACCATGGAGGCAATACAGTGTTTACACATGCAGATCTCATTTATTCTGTGAGTATGGGGAAAAAGATATTATAAAATACTAATGTCATTTAAAATACCCTCAACAAAGTATAATATTTTGGGAAAGACATTTTACTAATATTAAAATATTAGTAAAGAAAAATACTAATATTCACTTTAGAAAATTAAAAATTTCATAAACTATAGAGGAAATAAACTGAAGAGGGAGTTTAAAAAGTGAAAGAAATTGAATATCATTTCAAAAAATATAAAGTTACCACATGCTTTTCAATTAGAAGAACAAATCGTTCCAAAATATCCATAGTAATAAAGTAATACATTATACACACTCTACTCACAGAAGAAAAAGTTTCACAGTATGAATCTTGGTAATGATGTTTGTCTGTGGTCTGAAAGCACAGTTAACAAAAGGAAAAACAGAGAAATGGAATGTCACTAAAATAAAATAAGAAAAGAAATAATTTAAAAAATGTTATTTAAAAAATAACACGGATATACAAGGGAAATAATTACAAATAATTCATCTAATAATGGATAAATATTTAAAATATATTAACAACTTGAACATCTTGAGAGAAGGATAATAAATAATCCTTTTAAAAATGAGCAAAAGTTTTGAATAATTACTTCTTAAACAAAAATATACAAATGGTCAATAGATACATGACTAAAAGCCTTTATCATGACTATTCACTAGAAATGAAAAGCAAAGGAACAACGAGGTATATTTCACATCTATTAATATAGTTATTATGACAAAGAAGAAAAATAAAAGTTTTCCAGTGTGCAGAGAGAAGAGAACCTCTGTACATTGTTGGTAGGCATGTATAATTTGGCTTGTAGTAAAGAAAACATTATGGTGAATTAATAAAAACTTATTAGTATGGTTATCTGTCTTGTATACTTAAATATACATATAGTTATATACTTTAGAGCACTTTTGTTCCCTTTCATTATCAAAATATCTATTACACATTTTGGATCTTATTATTCTGTCATTTTTTATTACTTTTTATACTAGAGAGACAATACAATATTTACAAATGTGACTCTGATTTATTTCACTTGTGAAGACAGAGTCAAATTGCTTCCATTTGTCTATAAAAGTCTCAAGATCTTCCTTTTTATCACTGTCATTGTTTGACTGTCCTTTTTATGCTTTTTGTGACTTGAGCTTCTACTTCTAAGATAATATGTAATTTATCAACTAGTGATTTCTTGCTTTTTTGAAATTCTGTATTAATTATACCATTTTTCCTGTTTTGCTATTTTCTCTTAATCAAAAGGAAATATGAAAATTCTTTCTAAATCTAAAAGTAGCGCTGCTGCATAATATCACAGTTACACTAATGGATGTATATCAAAAGCCTGTAAAGCAGTATGATGAAGAGACAGCTGTACTCTGTTGTTTATTTCAGCCTAAATATGGCCAATAAATGAAACGAAACTAAATTCTCCTCTTGAATTAATGCATATAAAGCATGCTAGAATATTATTCTGCCTTTAGGTAGAAGGAAA